ATGATACTTGCCAATAAACTGTACCAGAAAAGATTCCAGCGAAACAACGTTCCTACGACAATGAGGATCGCGAATGATTGACGTTGATTTCGCGAAGGAATTGCAAGAAACAATTCGAAACGAGGACACTACGGAAAGGAGGTTAATATCACGGAAAGTTGTCCGCGACCTTTGACCGATAGTGGAACAAATATAATATATTTTAGGATTTTCTACCGCGAATTCCCATCTGAATCTTGCGAATAATTTAAACGCGTGGATACAGAAACGAGCAAACGTTTAAAAATGAAACGACTTGAAATTTCTCACTGGCTTCGATATCGAACGGCCGCGAAATCGTATTCTTCGTTATTAATCGTGCCAGGTTAAAAACCAAGATGTATCACCTACCTAATCGCGCTCGATCCTTCGACGTTCACGCTTCAAAACAGAATCATCGATGGTAGGTACTCACCTGAAACAAAAAACAAACGATCGATTATTAAATATGATCGCGACGTAGTTCCGGTCGTAGAATTTTCCGCGTCTGCCACCTTCGATATCGTCACCGACAGGAAATGTAGACCGGGAAGGGGACATCGCTTTATAACGCTCGCCGAAAGAGATTTAGTAGTTTTAATTTCGCACCGGTGCTACCGACGCTCCCACGCCTCCCCCTACCAATCCCCTTACCGCCCCCACAGCAACTCTGGAAAAACAACCGTTGGAACAAAGACGCTTTCTCGTTATTCACCATTATTATTATTATGTAAGCGTAAGTGGCGGACCGTTTAATGGGCTCGCAGTTCGTGCAAAGACTCGAGCTGGCTCGCGGTTTTGCTTTCAATTCGCGTTTCGATTAAACCACCGCGCTCTAGCCGGTCGTTGCTTTTAAACGAACCGGCAACCGTTAATTTAATCGTCCACGGATTTTGGATCGTTCCCGGTGCACCGCGAGTACGGCGTACTCGAAGAAGCGAAATCCACTGGTTTTTTTCTCGCGAAGCGACTGTCGAACCGAACGTCGATTCGGCAACTCGTCGAGGAAACTTTAAAGATGAATGTTGCAATCACCGAGAGACGGTGCTTTCAGGAGTAAAGGGAAAGGTGAGGGTGAAGGTAGTAAGGGTAGCGCAGGGATTGGGCTGTGGGGTGGCGGTGGAAAGGGGCGCGGAGAACGGTAGGCACAAACATACGGGTAAGCGGGCGCGAAGGGTAGAGCCGCATACTAGTAGGAGGGAGGGAGGGAGGTAGGGAGGCCCGTCATAGGGCATGGCGTTCTGGCATAACTCAGAATTGCCTCGCTGCAAGGGTAGAATTGACAGCATAGCACTAACATTGTATGCACCCGCGTTATGTATTTATGTAAATGCATACTCCCCCATCCCCCACGCGAGTGCTCGAACGCTGCACCCTCTAACCCTTCTCCACCTTCTCTGCCTCGTCGAACCGCCCCTTTCCTTCTCATGCTGCCAAACAGGCCCAGGTTCTCTCGTTCGCAACCGGCCGATGGCAAGCTCTTGCACAAACTATACCGCTTGTGGACGCAGATATGTTATACGGGCGTACATAGCAATAGGTAGAGGAGAACGGTCTCTAGCTCTTTCTCTCTCTAGCCGTAGCTAGGTATACATATATAGTAGATAGAGCGAAGCGAGTGTGCATGGAATTTGCGTGAACGTACACGTAGACGCGCGTAAGGCGCGTGTAATCGTACACGGGTAGAAGCCGAGTTACCGAGGGTGAACGTGGTTGTCCAACGAGGACGGAGGCAGTTATCGAGGGAGGGGATTCGAGGGTGGACAGAGGGCGTAAGGGGAGAAAGATGAGACTAGACGCGAGTGCGTACGATCGTGAGAGAGTAAGAGAGCGAGAAATAGGGGTGGAGGGCAAGAGGGTGTATTCACGTAAGCGGCAGCCGAGTCTTGGCAAAGGATGGAGCAACGAGCCGGCGTCGCCACCGAGGCCGCCGACGCCACCGACGCCGTCGTGCCACGGTACACGGCATATACCATACACCGATCACATTAATCAGAGGTTATTGCGCGCATTCCTAATCATCCGGGCCTCTAACTATTCCCAGATTCTGATTGGTGCATTACTCGGCATTTCCGGTATGATTCTGCATTCCAATTGGCCGAGCGAGCCGCACCGCATCTACGAATTTCAATTTGCCCGGTGCCGTTACCGTTGCCATCCACTCATCCTCCTCCTCCTCCTCCTCCATTTCCTACCTATATCTCCATCGGCCGTTGCGTCCGTTTCTGCTTTTTCAAGAACAACTACGCGAAGAAATTTGCTTATTTCCAGAAGATCGATGATCATGGACGAAAGTGCGCGAAACTACCGTGCCGTGGAAGGAATCGTGGAAAAGATGGAAAGTTAGGCGTGCCGGTTAGAGAAGCAGGAAGAGAAGGAGGATCGTAAAAGTAATTTCGATTTCTGCAATTTCGGCGCGACTTCGATTCTGCCTGCGATAATCATCGAGTAATTAACAATCCCAGTTTCAATTCGGTCGCCGCGGAAAATAGCAAATTCGTAATATCCTACGATATTGCGGCCCTCGTATGGCCTCCACCTCGTGGCCCCTACCACCACCCCATCGCTGGAAACTCGGTGAGCGAGCGAGTATCCGAGTTATCGCCACCCCCTTTCCCACGGATACACCAACACCGCCTAGCCGCCTACCGTGTCTCCCGTACGAGTCCGATCAACCTGTCTCTTTCTCTTTATCCCTTTCTCTTCTTCTCTTTCTCGCTCTGCTGTGCACCGTTGCTCGACACAGAGTGCAGGCCGGACGCGAAACGAGTCCCCGTTCGTCGCGTCGCGTCGCGTCGCGTCGCCTTCGCTCTTCGTTCCGCTCGAGGCTTCCTCTTTCCCGCGTTCCGGGACCAGGAACGCGCGCGCGATTCTGCACATTTTCGAATTTCCTATTTGTAAATAAGCAATCAGGGAACGCGAACCGTTCGACCAGGGCTGCCAGAGGTGAGACAATTAATCATTTCAATTAACGGACAATTCGATCTCCAATCGTCGACCGAGAAGAATATTGGAAAGCCGGGGACAAACCGGAAGCTCTTGTATCTCCCTGCCTCTCGTTTCTCGCTCCTTCGTCCCCCATCTCCGTCGCCACCCACGACCCTTTCCCTCTCGATTCGTTTTATTTTTCACGCCGCTCCTATCGTCCGTCCGTCCGTTCGACGCCGTTTAAAATCGTAATTCCGTAATGCGTCCTTCCTCTCGCGATACGCAACTCCAGTTCCCCGAACTCCATTATCTCTCGTTTAGCCGCCAAGAAACACGACCAGTTACCGCCGCGTTCGAACCATTTCTCTTACCCCTCTCCGCGACACTGCTATTTCCCTCGTACCGATAAAGCCGCAATTATTCGGTTTCTTATGCCGATTCGACTAATACGTAACATTAACGACAAAACCCGATGCAATTCCTCGTTTGCGACACGCGACTTTGTCGCACGAGCTCCGCTTCCTTTCTTTCTTTCGTTTTCCATCGAGTACGTTGATGCGGAAATACGGCACTCGACCGATCCTACCAATCACTGCTATAAAATCTAAAATTGTCGTTCTTCTCGCAATCGCGTTACACTGTTTTTCCGCTCGAGAACGACAAGAAATTATAATTTGTTGTCGAACGCGTATCGATTTCTACTAAGCTTCGACCAGGTTTTTCATCGCTCGGGAACGCGTCTTTTTTCCAGGGATCTGCCGGAACGGTACCTCAAGCTGGTTGCTTCGAAGGAAAAGCTCGCTCTTCCGAACGATTTAAGTCTCGAATCGCGGGAGAAAAGAGAAAGAACGAAAGAAAAAAGAGAGGGAAGGAGAGCAAGATTCGCGAAGGTTCGAAAGTTGTGCCCGACCACGGAGTTAACGAGGTTAGCGGCGCGAATTACTTCGTGGTAACGGGCTGATTGAGAAAACTCTTGGCTGCTCGAGGAACCGCGACAAGGACACCGGGGCGAAACAGAAAAGACCGAAGAAATCGACCGCGAACGAAGAAAGAAAACGTAGACCGAACGACGGAGAAACGTGGACGAGGGTGAGTCGGAACGAGTCGAACGGATGAAAAAATTATAAAGGTCGACGAAGAAACGAGATAATATAATATTAGCAGGGAGGAAGCGAGCAAGAGAAACGGGAGGGAAAAGAGGAAAGAAGTGCGAACGAGGGAAAGGCTGAGAGCAGGGGTGAGAAGGCTGGACGCGGACCGGTTAAACGATAAAAAGGTTAGCGCCCACAATGAGAGCTGCCTCGCCGCTTCGAGGAAGCGGGCGGAAAAGCGGAAAAGGATATCAGAGGTACGAAAGAAAACAGAAACTCTAGGTAATTTGACGAGAATTCTTCGAGACGAGCTTAAAAGGTCGACGCCGTGTGCGGCTTATGTAGGCCAATCTCGGAGAAACGTGACGCGTAATCCAAACAAATCGGTAAGCCGCTGTCACACCTCACCGGTCGACAATTTAATTTTTTAGTCAAATAATTAAGCAGCGACATTCGGTCTGCCCGTTTAATCGTAAAGAATTTACGAAAAGGTTCTCCAGCGAGGAAAGCTTGGCAGCCATCTTAAAGCCGCCATTTTGGATAGATCGCGGGAAAGGTTAAGATATCGAGGGACGATTCACGCGTAAGAAGGGGTCGTTGGTGGCGACGGGGGCCAACGGAACAGAGACGAAGGGTGGTAAATAGGAAATAAGTGACTGCCGGAGGGGGCGAGAACGGATTCCGCGGCAATTTCTCGTCTCCGCTTGTCATTGGCGAGAAATTGTCAAATCCCTGCCGCTTCGTTCCGAAGCGTTCGTTCGTTCGTTTCCCGCGTACCCTCCACCCTTGCCTAATCGTCGCCATCCCCGCCCGCCGCGTTTATCCGTACGACACGATCATGAGCGAGCGTGCTTCCCCAAGATAACGAGGTTTCTTCGTTAAGGCTCGCAAATAAAACTACGCGACTCGATTCTCGTTTCCCTTTATCCTCCGTTTCGCTACCCCATGCGAATCGTTCTCTGCTTTGCCTATGAAAAAAAAAAAAAAATTACAAAAATAAATAAACGAACGGAACAGGAGAAGCCGAGAAGATGAGCGGAAAAAAAAAAAAAAAAACAAAAAAGGAAAGAGTTCTCTTTTTTACAGCGGAGCTACGGTCGGTGATTTTATTTTTTACGCGAGCCTCTAACAAATTTCGCAAAATGGAATTTTCAATGGCGCCCCATGACTTTGTAATACCTTCCGACCGAGACGGTTGCCCGCACGGTATAACCGATTGGTTTGCGTCGAAATAACGAGTCCATGGTTGCCCTAGAATCGTGTACGAGCCCGACAAAACGTGTCCCTGGGCAAGATGAACCGTTCGCCCGCCCCCGACAAACGCGACGATCCGTTCTCCAACGATCGAGCTTGAAAGAGAGGAGGGAAGCCGAAATTCGGTAAAGAGGGCGGAAGAATCGGAACGAAGCGTTGGAGCGCGCGAAATATATTTATTTTTAGGGAGGATGCTGCCTCCGGGGTACAACGCAGGGGGACGCGAGATTGAAAGCGTAATAGGTCGGCCATCTTGATTTTCCAACCCCGCGTCAATTAGTCGCGGTAGGAGGGTGCGAAGAAGAAGAGCGATGGCGTCGTTGCGGCGAGACCGACGGGACTGGCAAGGAGAGGAGGCGAGACGAACGAGGCGGACCTAGGAGAGACGCGCGGAATCGCTGGAGAACGCGAACGAATGCGTTACCATCAACCTAGTCTCTCCTCTATACCCAGAAGCTGAGAATTAAAGTTCGGTTTCCGCGACGTCCGGAAATAACGCGACCTTTCGCCGAGCAATCGGGAAATGAAACTCGTATCCTTTCAGGATTCATACTTGACGCGTTCCGCCTTCGAAACACTTTTACTCCTCGACGACGCGACCGGGCCCCTTTGCGCTTTATCTGCTAGACGTTCGTTTCTCCTTTCTCCCTCCATCATCGACCAAATCATATTACCGACTTTCCGCGCTCTATCATCTCTTCTTGAATTTCACCCGTGTAACGAAACCCTTTACCATTCGTAGCAACTTGCAATTTTTGCCCTTGGAGGATAGATTAACCTACAATACGAAATGATACCAGGATCGCGAGAACGTGGATTCTCGAAGCGCGAGTTTCAAAAACATCAGAGAGAAGAATTATCGGTCTGCGTTTAACGAGGGATAGAGACCAAAGGGAGAAAGTGGAAAAACGATTCGTTCGTTAGGGTCGCGACAGGTTTTGAATTTCCGATCTCGCGGCACGAGATCGCAGGAATAAATATGTAAGTCGCGAAACTGTCGTCCACGCGAGAATGGTCCTCCCTTTTCTGACACGTTCAGCTCGAAGGGAGGGATCGAGAATCGCCGGTGCTTCTTGGCACGTCGGCGAATACGAAAATGCAATTAAGTGGAAAATATGCGGGCTCGTTGCATATTTGCAGGTAACGCTAGTCGTTAGCATCACAAAGAAGAGCCAAGCTCTACTCGCGCCGCGCGATCCTCGCATTCAAATGGATGAGAAGTCTTTGGAAAATTTATCTCTTCCGCGACCTACCCCATAGGCCTACGGGCCAGCGCACCGCGACGCATTAATGCGCCACGCCACGCCACGCCACCACCACCACCACTAACCCCTTCGTTTCGTTTCGTTTCGTTGCCATTCTCCCAACTTTCTACGCACGTTTTCCGCGACCGCGTCAACTTTTCGCGCTTTGAACTCGTACCACCCTTCAAATCGACCAACCCTCTTTTTTTTTGTTTAACACCGAGTAGCTTTCGCTGGGCGAAAACCGGGAGATTTAAGCTCGGCGCGTTACGCTGCTAGAAACAAGCGGGAGAACAGAATATCCTCGATTCCTTTGTCGATTGCGATCAACAACAAACCGGCGGAATCTCGGAAAGTTGGTTAATCTTGGCGTTGGTTTAATAAGTAAAAAGCGCGATAACAACCGTTGCTGTTTCAGGTTCCGGGGCAGTGGCAAAAAAGCGAGACGGTCCGATAATTATTATTGCTCCGGCTGTCCGAACCGACTAACGAGGCTCCAACGAGCGCGGGCAATAAACGTCGAGCACGAGAGAATGGAAGCGAGAACGATAATTAGGAATGTTAATTTGTCTAATAATTAACAAGATTAATAGGATACTGTTATCTGATGCCGGAGAACACGTGGAAGGAACCGCGAAGGTCGGTCTCGTGGGAAATGGAAGAAAACCGTATCCAACATATACAGAATCCCGGACGCGACTCTACTATGCTTTTCAGACGAAAATTATCGCTCTACTCGGCCCCGCGCGGCCTGCTCAATCCTGGTCTTTCTTCTGATTATCGAGTTCGAACATCGTTGAAAGAATTCCGTCGAGTATCGCGAACCTTTTTTCCGAAGAGGAACGCGACTCGGTTACGTCGATAAATCGTCGCTCGCGAAAGAGGGACGAGCCGGCCGTCTCCGCAAGTTTCGATATCTGGTGCGAAAAAAACGCGACGTGAAAGAAAGCTGGCGAGTTTATCAGCAAAGTGGGAGACAGGCGCGGCGTTCGTCAACGCCGCGGCGTCTTAATTCCACGGACCCTTGGAACGCGGCAAACGGGCAGGAGAACAGAGATTCCATGCAAATATCCCGTCGTCTCGCGGAAGGGGAAAACTTGCTCTTTTTTCCGTTGCCGTGGCAAAGCGATCGTCCGAGAGAAAAAAGAAGAGGAAGACCGGTGGAAGCGGGTGGAAGTGGGTAGAACCGGGCCGAGTCGGCGGCGAAAGAGAAAAGAGGAACGGGAACAAGGGAAGAGGAAGGTGGCAAAGAAGAAGAAGAGGAGAAAAAGCGAGTATCTTATTTATGAATATGTATGGGAGGCTCGAACGAGCCTCGAGAAGCTGACTACGGGCTACTACTGCGAGCGGTCGGGCATGCCGAAGCCCCTCCAGCACCGCGGGCTTGCTGCCCCAACCTAGAATCAAAGTGACATTAGCTGCAAGGTACTTGCACCGCCAACGTATATACCAACATACGCGGCTTACCTTCCTTTCGGAATTAATGTCCGCGCGGCACGATATACGACCGCGTGTACGCTCTTTTTCACGCGGCTTCCGTCCCGCGTCGAAACGCTCGAAACACCGACCACCACACGTTCACACACGTTCGCACACAGGAGCCCGTTGCCTTTCCCTTTTCTGCCCGACTTCCTTCGCCCAGAACGCTCTTCCGTTCTACTCCCGCGCTCTCGCATCCTTCTATTCTCGGCGAACGCGTTTAAGCGGCCACACGCGAGCAAAGAAACCACCAACTCCCTCAGGTAGCTTCGCTTTCTGTTTCAACGCGATCTTTGTCGGCCCGTTATATTAATATTTTAATATAAATGCAAATCGCTTTAGGTCGCACTTACCGATAGGGAAAGTTAAGCTCGTGAAAGTCGCGACGACGACGACGACGACGGTGACGGCTAGGGGTTAAGGTAGGAGGGAGGAAGAAGACACAGGCGGTGGGTAGAAAAGGAAACCGGTCGAAGGGTGGAAACTCTTCTCGCGTAAATAGCCTCGTACGACGCACGATTTATCGCTTGTACTTGCCGAGACACGCGGTGCACCGCCCAGCCGATATTAAGCGATGGTCGTAAGATATGCCAGCTTACGGACCTATCCCACCAACTTGCCGAAACAACCTTCTTCTTACGTCAACAGTTTCACGCCGTTCGAAGCCCAAACGATCCGCGCGATTCGAGCAACGAGCCACCACGATCTTTTTCACGATCGCTTCTTCTTTGTTTGCAGCAACGTTAACGCGTGTTTAGCTTCCAAAAGCGACGCGACGAGCGAACGCGTTTCTTTCATTCTACATCAGTATAAGCATTAATTTTCCCGGTTACGGCGTTTCCTCGCCGTCATAATCGAGCACGATAATATAATAACGAGCGTGAAAAGACGGTAAATTCGTGCGACGCGATAGAAGCAGCTCTCCCCGCGGAAACGGAGTCGATTAAAATAGAAAAACGATGAGAGCCGGTTGAAGAGAATCCGTTGAGTTTGCGCGGCGGCCGTTCGCGCGAGTTATTAATTTGTCGGGCAGGCGGAGCTAGTCAAGCTCATCGCTAACTTCGTCGTCGTCGTCGTCGTCGTCGTCGTCGTCGTGGTAGCCGCGGCGCCGTCGACATCCTCGTTGTCGATGCCGCCGTTGTATTCGCGATTGCAGTTGCTGCTGCGACTGCATTCTACGCGAAAGCTGGTAGCGCGGCTTCCCATTTACGCGACTCAGCGATGCGCGATGCCATTCACCGGCGAAAATATGAAAACCCCATTATGCGGCAACCCGAGCTGTTGCTTTTTGTGGCCCCTCTTTCCGAGCAGCCCTCTTCCGTTACTCTTGCATCCCTAACGTCCGCTCCTCTCCTTCGTATCCGCTCTACTCCTTCTACGTTACGAGCACGCGACACCGCCTCCCACTCGTACGGATTTATACTATGTTTTCGTGTTACACCTAAGTCGTTACACGCGCACCCTCTATCAACCCTCTTGCCACACTCGAGATCGTGGCGCGACGCTCTCGTTCGACAACCCCCCCCCCGAATTGAAAAGGCGTCACGGTTAATTACCACTGACGCGAGAAGAAACGGTAAAGAGGATATCCCTGGTTTTCGCTTTTATTTTGTTTAGGAACAAGCAACCGGAAGAAAGCGATGAACATTTACTCGGTGTTTCGATCGATCCGTCGTAGCGAAGGATCGCTACGTCAGGCAGACTCGTCGTTCACGACGTAGCTTTATCATAAATTATAATTAACCGCATAAATATGCATTCGACCGTGGCATAATTCGACCAATAACAGTAAATTACTCACGAGGCGGAGCGACTCGTCGCTGGTGCCACGGTGGCACGATCCCACCCCCGCTCTAGAGAGTTGCCCTCCGTACCACCCTCTTTCCACTAACGGCATAGGCAACGGCATAGGCAACACAGGGAACGCCGACAACGAGGCAATAGACAGCAACGACTATGCCAACAACAACCATGCTACTTCATCCGACCATACCCACGTCCTGTTCGTCCGAGCTCGCTCTTTGCTTCTACTCGTCCCCGCCGACCGCGCGCGCTACCAGAGTTCCACGATAATGCGATTAATTGGTATTGCTAATCGGCGATAATTAATATAAATAGATGAGTGCAGTTATTACTAGAGCACGGCCCCGATTCGCCCGCATACAGATACGATTCGTACAACACAAGCTCGTCGATCTGGTGTTCCGAGCGCACCGCATACTTTATCCACCCCGTGCCGCGTCGCGTCGCTTCGTCTCGTTGCTCCACGGTTTTGTCGAGAACGATCTAAAAGGTCCGGGGGCAATATTAAGGGATCGAACTTTGAATATTTTTTTATATTCGATGCGTCATATTCTTACCGGCCTGGAGAAGCAGGATATTGCAAAAAAGAATGCCATTTCTGACAGGTGCGCTTCGACCCCGAGTGTGGGTGGTTACGGAGAATAGAAGACCGCGGAAGTATTACGCGGGCGGTAAAGTGACTCGACTCGACTCAAATCGAGTTGCGTCGGGTCGAGTCGAGAGAGGAGACTGAAAAGAGAAACGGGCAGAGGGAGAGAGAAAAGTATTCGTATCGGGGAAAAAGAGTAAAACCGACTGAGAAATCGAGTAGAGGTGCGGAAGGGTTAAGGGGGAGGATGTAGGGTAGGGGGATGGGAGATGAGAGAAGGAAGAGAGGGGCGTAAAACAGAGGCAGAGGGTCGCGTTGGCAGACTTCACGCACAATTAGTTTCCTGAATAATTCCTGATCGAAGGCGAAACCGAACGAGGCGTGGATGGTAGTTACGCTGCCGACGAAGCGACAGCTGGCACTTGCAACCTCCCTTCCCCACCTACGCTTTCCGCGTCTTCCTTGATAATTATGTGTACGTTAATTAATTGACTAATTATTATTCCAACTACGTCGTTCGGGAATTTCTAGACGCGCCGCTCGAACCTCGTTTCCTTCGCCATCGATCCCGATCGGGAAAGCTGCAAAGGGAGTCAGGGAATAGTCATTATCCTCGTACCGTTCCATTTCGTTTCTTTTTCACGGTCGTTCGCCGCGAAAGCGGTAACCGAACGCTGCTCGATGCTTTATCGCGATCCCAAATATCGGGCTAACGTTCCAACGATTCCGAAACGTTCGTAATTTCTTGCCAAAGTTTTTTCACGATCTGTCATTTTTCACGAACAAGACCCGCCTTTTTTTCCATCGATACCATGTATCTCTCCTCTTCCTCCAACCGTCCAGTCATACGTCTATCTATCCAGCTATCTATTCATCCGCTTTCTCTCTGTTGGGCCTATCGAGGACGACAACCGCGTACGGCGTATACCAACCCCTCGCTCCTCTTACCCTTCCACCCACCACGCTCCCTCTTCTGTCCCTATTGTCATAACCCATAGATGCGACCGTAAATCGACGGGAAAGCTGCAAGAACGCTCGATATATCAATCTACGTCGGCTCCTATTTGCTGGTAATTAATCACGTTCATATCCGAGGGCGTACTTAGCATCCGAGAGGAGGAAGCATCGAGTGGATGCTAAACGCGTTCGAGGCATTGGCCCGAAAGATTCCGAGAATGGCGTCGCGCGAACCATCGTAGCATTGCACAGCCTGGAGCATCGAAGCATCCCACGGACGAGTCGGAATCTTTGGATCGCGTTACTTCGCCACCCATTTACCGCCACCTTTTCGCCCCATGAACGTCGTCGTCGTCGAGCACGATTATCCCGCCAACCTGTTCGAGCACGAAACGGGATTGATACTTGAACGTAGCGGCAAGTTTATCGAGAAGAAAGCATCGCGATCGTTTCCCTCTACATTTCCCTGCAACTTCGTGATTCTCCTTTTTTATTTCTCTCCAAGGTATTCTTCGGCTATTCGATTCACGGAGTTTACGCTTGCTCGATCATTTATATCAATTTTGGAAGAGAATAATTTCACGATCGGTTTGAACGAGGAACGAAAGAAACACAGGCAATCGAGGAATCAAGCGATCACGATCGCGCCTCGGGAACAACGCTGGTGTCGTTGAAAAGCGTCTCGGAAAGCGGGAACCGTTTTCCGGGCCTATCTATCTCCGCGATGCCGCGAATTTTCTACGGCCTTTTTTCCTCTCTTTATTCTTTTTCCTTTTATTTCCTTTTTTTTTCTTTTTGTTTCTGCGAACGCGTCGGTTCTCAGCGATTTGTTCTGGTGCGCGCCTATCCGGGGAAAACCTTTCCCGGCCGAAAACCGCTGGCAAAGCGGCAACGGAAAGAGAAAAGGGAGGAAGAGAGGTAGGCAGGCAGGCATGGAGGATGGGAGAGTCGGAGGTCCGCGTTTAAAATAATGCGAAGCCTCCTTTATTCCTATCCTCCCTCCACCTCTACAGCATCCTCTGCCAACCCCCGATCCAGCCACTTCGTTCGCGACGCTCCTTTTTTATTTCGCGCTTTCTACCACGGCCAATGAAAGAGCCACTCTTCGCCTTTTGTCGCGCTTCGACCGTGCCGAGACTCGTTTCGCACGCTTCGAACGACGCGACGCGGGGAGAACCCGTCGAAATATATAAACGGACGCGTTCCTGATTTTTGTCGCGATCGAATCGGCAAAGGAGCTTTCGGATAGGATATTCGGTCGAACGGTCGAAAGCGGTCGAAGCGGTCGGAACAATCGAGACGGAAACTAATCGCGGCGATTCGAGGAATTCGAAACATTTTTTCCAGCGTAACCGCGGTTGCCAGCGTGGTATGCGAGGCGCGGCTAGCAGAGGCAAACGGTGCGAGGGGATGGAAAAGGAGGGAGGATGGGTGGGCGATGAAGGGGCAGGGCGGAAGCGCTTTCACGATTTTGAAAAAAAATCCATTTCGCGATAGAGCCGTCGCGGAATAGATACGGGACGCGGTAGGGACGTAGGCCCTATACCAGACTGTGAAGGGTACAGGGTATAGGTGTGCGTATATATAGGATAGCCAGGATTGACGATACGAATCGGCTATCTGCAGGTACACGGCAGATAGGAGGCGGGTGGCGAGGGGGAGGCAAAGAGGCAGAGGCAGAGGAAGAGGCAATTCGCGTGTGGTGCGGGATGCTCGCGCGCTATACGAATCCGCGAGATACCACACAGCCGAGAATCGCGCGTACGTACGCGACCAGGCTGCACGTGCGTGAAGTTACACGTGGCTGGTTGGGTATCTCCGATATTTATGGGCAATATTTCCGATTCAGCTGCCGCTATCGAAGCCCTTACCAGTTCAACATGTCCGCAATAAAAAACTGGATAAAATTATATCCACATCTCGCCACGGTTTCGACTCGCTGAAACTCATCAAAAGTTATGGAGCGGGATACGAGGAATTCTATTCTACTCCCGCTCTCCCTCTCCCTTTATCTCCCTTTTTTTCACTCTACTTTTTTCTTCCCTGTTTTTTTTTTTTTTTTTTTTTTTTTGTTTTAATATTTTGCGCGAGACTACGGTGCGCGAATCGATCGATTTCGAGCCGATAAAACGGCCATTTCTACTCGCCGCGAAACCGATTCTCTCCCTCTGTTCGTTTCCAAGAGATTCGTCGACGGCAAAATAATTCTGTTGCAACCGAACGAAACGGGAACGAAGCTTTTGCTCACCGCTCTTGCTCGAAAAGATCGCGACGTTTCGTCTAATCTACCAAAAATTTCTCAAATCATCGGCGTTAAACGTTCCACTATAGGAACCGCAAGCTGCGAGTACGAAACGATATCGAAAAAAGAATTCGAGAAACGGCAATGACGAACCGAATCCTGGTCGAAGGAAGAGGAACAAGAAGAAAGAAGTACAAAGAGTGACGACCGAGTTTCAGACGTAAAAATTCCAATTTGTTCCCGGACCGTGTGCAGCGCCGTTAAAGCCCAGGACGAGCCAGAGAAACGCGTAATATATTACAAAACTTCGCGGCGAAGCACGGATGTGGAGACCGAACGCTGTATTATTCGAAAGTTTTCCACTCTGCGAAAAATTTCTCAACTTATGGATTTCGGGCCGAAGAAACTACGCTCTTGCCTACGTTTCCTTGCTTCGACGGCACCGTTCGCCAACCGTGCGTACCCCCTTTTCTTCCTTTCGTCTCGCGAACCACGAGAACACAGCCGCCGTCGTCCTCGTCCTCGTCGCGGAACAGATCGATTCCGCGTCGAATCTGTATCGCGAAACTTTATTCCCGTTGCCAACTTGGAGGATACGGTTTCCCTTGTTCTCTCGTCATACTTATTCTGTCAACCATCGATCTTCGAGGATTCGTGGTAAATAATAAATACTCGAAACGCGACGTTCCCGCGAACCACGATCGCGAAGACGAATCGAGCGAGAGAAAGGAGCAAAGATGTTTCGAAAGGAACGATGGAGAGAAACGGAAGCGAAACGAAGAGAGTAGGTGACGAGGAACCAGAGAATTGCGGTGTGACGAGGGGGCCTGCTTTACAGAAACAGCAGAATCGAGAAAAGAGAAACAGAGAGAGAGAGAGAGAGAAAAGGAGGAGAACGGGGGAGAGGGTAAGGACGGGAGCGACGGAAAAACTTTTTAAATTCGAGACAAAATGCTAAAAGTTCCCCGAGGCCATGCATACGAAGCGGGAAGCAGCGAGAAAAAGGAGCGAGGACGGGGCGAGTGGAGGGAGGCAGGCAGCGACCATTAACATAAAACAGAATGTGGGAAAAGCAAATATTGTGATAAAAAATAATAATAATAGGAGGCGAGCGGAGAGTACGGAAAGGAACGGGAAACGGTGAGGAGGGGCAAGGGGGTGAAGAGAGAAGGAGCGTACTCGCGCGAGCCCGTGCGTCCCCAACCCCTGGGGACGAAGCGGAACGACGGATACTTTGGCTCCGCGAATGCCGTCCTTCTCTTTCTCTTCCTATCCTCGCGCTCCTACGACCTCTTCGTTCGTCCTCCCCTCGCCCTCCGACCAACCGCTCGTATAAATACAAGTATACGCCCAGAGTTTTCCCGAGGCATTTATGAAACTCATTCGGCTAGGACTAACTCTAATAATCGTTGAAACTAATGCTCTCTTTCGAGTATGTGTGCCACCACTACCAACCGACCCACCATCCTTCCAACCCTTTTCCAGAAAGCGTCTTCTCGCCAGTGAAAGAACGGCCAAACAAAATGCCTACTTCGCGCTCGACTAGGGTTTTCGCGATACGATTGCTTCTCCAAGAAAGGGGTGTATTCGCCATCGGCCTAGATCGCTTAACCATTAGATTAATTGTTTCGCAAACGAATTTTCCTTCCTACGGGAAAATTCGAGGAACCTTCGGAAATAAAATTTTACCATAATAGAAATAACGAACAAGGATAGCAAGAAAAAGGTCAGAAGAGAAGAAGGGAAGAGGGAGGAGACGCGGAGGAGAAGAAAGAACGAAGGGAACATAGAGAAAGCGGCGTAAACCGTAACGATAACGATTATAGGCGCAGTTACCCTGGGACGTCCTGTCTTAACGATTACGCCGTTGAAAATTATTACGCGTAATAACGCTCTGTCGTTATTACTGTTATTGTTATTATTATTGCTATTATTACGAGCGTTATTATTGCCGTTATTATTGCTACCGCTATTACTGTTATTTATATTATTATTATCATTATTATTATTTTTATCATTATTACTATTGTTATTATTATTATTCCGCGGAAACAGGGAAGAGCGAAACTCACGATAGACAGTTTAGAAATTCGAACGATATTTCCAACGACTCGCAGCCGTTCGTAGCCGAACGGGCGGCCCTCCGGAATTACTTTTGCGCGCTCGTGGATTAAGTTCGAGCGGTGGCCGTTGCATTACAAATTGACTTTTCCACGGCTGACTATTCAACGTCAGCCTTGAAATCGAGACAACCGAATCACCTGAGCGGCCATGGACCGGTGCGGTGGATCGTTCCGATACGAATTCCCGATTAAATTTAGCGAATCGACAGCCCCGCGTGCAACTTTCCTAGTCTTCGAAGAGGATCTGTCAGCCGGAAGTCTCGTCCAACGTGGAAATTTTTTGTTTCGCCAATTGTCGAAGGGGATTTTAGCCGTCGATCTCTTCAACCGCGAATCCGGTTGGCCGTCGACTAAACGCATTCGAAAGTTCCACGAACGCGAAAAATACGTTTCATCAGATACTCTATACGAAACGATCCAACAATTTTTTGATATTCTTTAGGTACGACAAATCTGTCCTCCCAACAGATCGATGCAGAATAAATTAAACGCTTTGTGTTAGATTTTTTTGTAATCCAGGTAGCCGGTTAAATCGTCACAAATTACGTGAACGTTGACGTTGTCTTACGATAAACTGTGCTCATCGATTATTCGTAAAGCAAACGTGACTCGCAAACTCGTTGAAAAAGAAGCCGCGCAATTAGAATAGCTACGAGACGAGTTCAATCGACGAGGTTACTTACATAATTTCCCGAAAGGATCCACGATATCGATCATTCTTGTAACGACGGACCATCCAACGCTCGGTTCGAGGGAAAAACTCGCAACCGTAACACGATATTTCGATCGAAATGTAAAATTATGGATAATTATCTTTCGATCGTCCCAACAGGCGAGTGTAATTTAGACGTCCGCCTCGTGCGTTGGCCACCGATCGATTACGAAACGTTTACACGAGGTTTCCTGATCTCCAGAGATCGCTTTTTTTTCTCCCTTTTACAAGTTCGTCATCGTTAACGTTTCTTCGGTGGTGCGGTGCCTTGACCAAGCGTCCACGTTAATCGACGACTAATCGAAAGGTTTTACGATGGAGAAGCATCGAAACCGAGAATGCGAAAAGCTGTCGAATTCGACGGCGGAAAACAGCGACGATCGCGCAACGGTTTGCCTATTTTCGGCAATTTCCGATTCGTAAATTGCTCGGCGAGGACGTACGAGGCGACAAACTAGTTTTGTCCCCGCAATTTGTAGCGACGCGTACGTCCGCCCACCAACGATATTTCATCGAATATGATAATCGTAGCTATTACCGTCTGGCTTGGCCGATTTCTTTTGTCGTCAACGAATAATCGTTCCCGGCCAAACTTGGACGGCGCCGTCGACAATCGGAGCTTCTTCTTCTTCTTCTTCTTTTTCCTCTACTTCTTCTCCACGGTTTTCCACACTCGCAACTACCTTCTGCCGAGTAATAGGACAAACCACGCGGAACACGGTGTTGGCAAGTAAGACGTTTCGTATCTTTCATCGAAACGCGACGGCGAAAAGATCTTGACAGAACGATAGCTCCACTTACACTTAGCAGCTCTTTGTTCAGATATTGGAATACGCTCGGTTACGCACGCATTGCCTTCTAATAAAGCCGGCTTTACTTGTACCACTAACCCACTGTAAATTGAATAAGAAAATACTTGTACCAGTATTGAATAGCGTTGACACGATTCCGGGAAAGTAGATTAACCGGGCCGGCTAATTGACGGACAACTAGCACAAGTAACAATACAGATGTAAGCCGACTTTACGCAAGTCGCGAATATCCCTGTTACATGCGCCTTGATATTACATTACGTTACGTTACGGCACGTAAGGAGCCTGACTACCTATCGTAATTGCAAGTAAGGTGCTTCGAACGATAACGTTTGCGCTCTTCTCTCTCTGCCCATCCTCTGTCTCCTTGTCTCTTCGCGTCCAATTACGCGTAATGCGATAATAGCTCGACGAATATTTCTAACACGGCTAATCATCGTTGTACACGGTGGCTCGATAGTTGGACCGTGTTTGGTTCGATCGTTCGAGAAAACCGGAACTCCGCTCCGTCTGGCTGTTATCGGGTATCGCGATCGTATGAATATTTATATAATATATATATATACACGTGTTGTACAATGTAGTTATTTAATGAGTCGTAAACGCAGCTATCCGGTGGCGTTGTCGCGACGACTTTACGGTCGCCTCGTTCGGATCGTCGTAAAAATACGAGCCGAAGCGCAAAACGATACCACGTTAAATAGAATAATTATTATACGAATGTTTATGCACGTGTACCGATATTATTGTTACTCCGCCACTTTAATGATACGCAAATGGAACAGCCCGACGAACAATTTCCATCGTTCACCGACGCGTCAAATACAATTAACGATTACAAAAATATTTATCTTCGTCTTACAACGCCGTACGATGCCACGAGCAACGGTTCTGCAATTTCCATCGACCTCGATTTCCGACTCCTCCTTCGGATCGAACGACTTCGATTTTGGTGCCACTTTTACTTTTCTCCGAGACTTTGCTTTAAAATGAAATTGGTATTTATTATATTTTCAAAGACGAAGGAGCGGTTGTAAGCGAATTGAAAAACGAAGCCGGGGAGTCGTAAGAATCGTTTCTCATCGAGTGTCCCGCGAATATCGAACCAATTAGCATAACGTTTTCGGGCCGATAAAAGGCAGTAATTGTTCGGATGTAAACCGATATCTGCTTCTCGCAGCGCATCACAGCAAATGCGTTCCCATTCCCGCGCCATCTCATCCCCGTTCTCTCCTCTTTCTCTCTTTTCGATGGCCTGCACACGCGTACGCGATAAAGCGAGCGCGCAAGAGCGCGAGGGAGCACAGGGTATCCAGTTCAGAATATTCCCTACCAAAGGGGATTTTGCCGGTGGAAAACACAACGAGCGCTTGGCCTGTTCTCTGTCGCGCAACAGGGCCACCCCCTGCCGCCGTGCCGTGCCGTGCGTTTCCAGTTAAAACGGCCGAGTACTCGTGTTTAGATATCGTTAAACCGCATTTTCGACACTACCATTATGTAAAGCACGTGGTGGAGGCCGATAAGTCGAACAATGGTGCTCACTCGCGTCGAACGGGACGGGTTAGGCACTATTCGACGCTTCTTCTTCTCTCTGTTCACCCCGCTTTCTTTTCGCAATAATTTCTCACCTTTTTTTTTTACCTATCAATTCTCGCAATCTCCTGACTTGCTATCCGGCTAATTAAAAACGCTTTCGTTAACTCGATTCTCTGTCGATCTTTTGTCGTAACAGTTTTCTTCACCTCGCACAGAGAAAGAGAGGGAGAGAAGAAAAAGAGTCACTAGTTCGTCCACCGGCCTATACGGTACAAAATAATACTTTTTACTATCGCGATCTTTACGATCCGTACTGTATCGAGTATAAAGAAGATAATAAAGGAAGACGCGCGTGGATAATAGCTGGTATTATGCGCGTATTGCCCGGTGCATTACCATTTTTATTGCCGACGTTTTTTTTACGATCTACTTCTCTTACGAGTTAGCGTACCCCCGATCCGCGAACCGTCGATCAAGGTCGAATTTATTTCCACGCTAAATACATCATTCGCCACGCGTGTTTCGCCTCGTATCGAATCTTATCTGGACATACCTCCCAACCCCCGTCGAGAAGCCGTTGCAAATTTCACGCCTCCGCGCGATAATCTGATCTTTCCGAACGATCGATCCGGCTCGATTTATCGACGACAAGCGAGAGAGCTTCTTCTCGCCGACGACTGGTCCGTCCACCTTTTCGACCGGATTTTCTCGTTTCGGAGCAGCGGCACGCGCGTACAACTCGTTTAACGTCAACGCGCGCGCAATCATCCTTATCGTCGTGTTACAACGTAATTATCGTATCGCCGTGAACGCTTACCGCTTTTAATTTCGATCATTGACCCGTAACTGGTAACGTCATTCCTCTTCCGTGTTCCCTGGATCGAACGCGGTACCATCCAAGTGTCTTGTTTTTCTTAATTGCCAATTGTCGCGGTTCCCTAACGAAATACGCATCGTCTTCCTAGTAACTTCTTTGTAAATAGTTTTCGGCATTTCAGAAGACGCGGACGAAATCGTCCTCCGATCGGCAGAGATCTTTCCAAAGTTGTCGCGTATTCGCGATATAAATTGTAGCAGAAGCTCGCAGACTCGCTATAAGTATAGTAACGATAAATCAGGCGTATCGACGTGCTGCATAGAATTGCAAATGAGACGCTGCCTTCTTTAAAATAAAAAGTTATAACGGCGCGCTCGCGCTCGTAAGTTTCGACGGTACGCGTCCTAAGCGTGTATACATATACAACGTACACAGACACCTAGAAGCGTACGTATACCCGTGTCCGTGAACGGTTTCGCGGGAGACAAGGAAAGAGGGCATGGAGCGAAGAATGAGGAAGAGAGAAAGAGAGAGAGAGAGGGTACGTTTGTGTGCGCGATCGCGTAGTGTGCGGGTAATACGTACGTTCTCCGGACAAGCAAGGAGAAAGAACTTAAAATGAATAATGTATCGTATATTTAATTCTATATATAAGTACCAGCGCGCGTACGCACACACGAACGTAAGAGAAGACGTACGTAGGTGTACCCCCCTCGTCTCTTTCGCCCCAATCTCCCTTGCCTCTCTGTTCGTATTTCCCTCTGTGTGTCGCGAGCGCACAACCGCTCCCGCGGAGCGGATCTCTCCTTCCCTCTGTGTTTCTCCGTTGAGAATGAAGTAGCATATTTTCTACGCGGAGGTCGTGACGAATCGACTTTCCAGTCGCCGACTAGAACGATACAAAAATATATTTTAGCCGGCCCGTGCCTCCAGAGAAATAACAGTCTGTTCGGGAATAACTGTCATTAAATTATTATCGATCGATAAGCGCCTCGTTACCGCCTAGGACCGACCTTCTTTTTAACCGGCAAAACTACCCGACAACCATCTTCCAACCCCTTTTACCTCGTTTCCTGTGGAAAATTATCCACGTTAAGACGATGCTCCGATCTCGTCCACGGGCAATCTTTCATTTAACTCGAACTCGAAGCTTCGCGTACGCGTTGCTTGTCTATTTTCACGAGGATAAAATGAGAACCGCTTTATTTTATTCGATAGAAAGAGGCATGGCTTGGTGTACGGTTGGCTCGAGCTGCCGCCTGACGTAACAATATAAATACGAACGGCGCATTAACAAATTCCTTTTAATCTTATCGTTTACAATAAATATTGATACGAAACTTTGGTTGCGCTATCGTCTCGGCACGATAGTACACGTAAAATATAATAATTCGCCTAATCTCCATGTAGCGTGAAGCGACCATGAAACGCGAACTCTTATCTTAACGAAATAACTGCGCAATTAGCCTGTCGCGACTCTACCGAAACTTACTGCCCCCTCGTTATTCTCTACAGGCCGATACAGGACATCTTGCTTTTCTTCGGAATCTATCGAATTACGACGACCAACGATCCACGAAAAAGAATTCGTGTAGAGATCGCGGTTCGCCTCAATTACATCCTCCAACGTTTCATTATTCGTCCGCGTGTATGATAATTACATCGGAAGCGGGTAGAGTCAGTTGGCGGGTGTTGTTTCACGGCCGAGTTACCTTGACGGATATTTTCCGTTTCTAAGTCCGCGTCGTTGATCATACGCGATTCCCGGTGTGCGACGAATTTCGTGCTCCGAAATTTCCCGTCAGAATAGTCATGCTACTCTATACTAATGTTACAATATCAAAGAGAGGAATACATAGTAAAATGTAGTTAAATTTTGTTTCAACACGATATGTATTGGTTCGAGAACGAAATATGATGAAAAAGCCATAGCGAGAATCGAAGCTAAGAGCGCACGAGCGCGTCTAACGACAGAGACGACGACGACGACGGTGGGTTGGTTGAGCGCCGCTGCATTAATAATATACGATACTAGTAATGGCATCGGGCGTATACGAACGTATATATTGTATAATAACTTTCAAGGCCTTATAAACGTTTATTATTTACCGCGTAACGTAATGGCAAACGGGTCCCCCACTTCTCAGCAGTCGTTATTAAAAATAATACTGTAACGTTCATGCACGACGTTGCCCCGCTCTCCTCTGCTTCCCTCCTGCCCATCGACCGCTTAGTTGCGCGAAATTATTGCCTCGTGAATTTTCGACGCAGGGCTAATTGCCCTTGCCCGTGGACCAAACGCCACCCTCTTTTCGATTTCTCACGGGATTTTCGAACAAACTATGAGAAACACTGCTTTAGAACGCGTTAATGGAAGAAAAACGCTATTACCGTCGATAGAAGATCAAACATCGAGGCAGAGGAAAGGAGGCAAAGAATCGGAATCGTTTCGACTTGCTGGGAAGAAAGCGGACCACGGTGAAAACGGTTCAACGAGTTTTCCAACGATTTTCCATCGTGTCTCGTCTGTCGAAAGTTTTTCCCCATCGAACGATCGGAGAGCGTTGGCAAAGTGTTCCTTGGCGGAATATCTAGAGACTCGCCTCGGGACAAGAATCGTTGCGAAGGTCGCGACGGCAACAACGCGACATTCCATTAACTCGTGGAATAGCTAGAACGGTTCTGAGAAACTGTACGGGTCGGCGTAAAGAAATCAAGAATCGACTCTGCTCGGCTGGTTCGTCAAAGTCTAACTTGGAGAAAATTATGAAAGAAGATTCGGTAGCGGCGTGCCGGACTCGGGTTTCGGAATCGGTGGCGAAAAAGCATCGACGGACGATGGGTTTTCTCGATTATCGAGGGGGTAGCGGGGCTGAGCGAAAAGAGTCGGTTCGAGAGGCTGCGAAAGCGGCTCGAACTGGCTCGATCCTGGCGGATAGAACGTTTGATTTGCAGGAATCAATAAAAATCCGCGAGATAAAAAACTGGGCGAATAAAAAATGGTTCGCAGTCGTGGCCAACCGGAAAGCAGAAATCGCGAAGAGGGAAGGGAGAACGAGGCGGCTAGCGTAGGAGGACGAGGAACAGGACGAGCAGGGATAATCTGATTTTCAGCAACTTTATACGTTGCGCTTCGATTAAAATCCAGCCACCGTGCAGGGCCAATACAGTTACGCCGCTTCTGCCCTCTTCCTGTACGCGCTCACCTACTCTTCCCTCCTTGCGTCTGTTCGTCAACCTTTTTCACATCCGAAAACCCGCTCGATTTCGAACCTTTCCTCTTTCCCCATAATACAAACAGTGTTACTTGAGAGAAGCAAAGAAAAGAAAGAAGAAGAAGAGGATGTTGATGAGGATGATGAAGAAAAGACTTAATACAGCAAGTAGGTACGCGCGTTATTGAAACGCAAATCACGTTGCGCAACTGGCTGCGCCGCCGCGTCGTAGCGGGTCCGATCGGAATGTCTTGCATTAATAAAATATGAAGTATAAAAAGTTATTAAAAGGAGTAACGAGGAACTTAATGTTTATTCATAGCCGAGTGAGGCGGACGGATGAGCGAATAGGAGGCCGGGCTGCGATTCTCCGCATATTAAAAATCGTAAATAACCCTGCTACCGCTACCCCTCCACCCTACTTTTGTCGTTAAATCTTCGCGATTACGAGCAATTTTAATTCGCCATCCGTAAACTTCTTCCACCATCATTTCTCTCGCTCCTTTCCTCTCTTTTCTCATCATATAAATGTAGGTACTCGCAATTCGTACGATCGACTTCCGCTTTACTTTATCTAGTCGGAGACGGTTTATTAGCGTGGCTACGATCCGACACCTGGTCTAAGTTGGCATTCCATTGTCTGCTACTCACCTGCAACAAAAAGACGAAGACATCGATCAAGACGATTATCGATTAACGAGCATAGTTGCGACCACGTAACCGTGTTGTTCGTCGATGGTTTCGCCTACGCGCTCGCTAACCCGCTCTCGACCTCGACGCGAACACGCGCCTATAATGTTGCGCAGAAATAATAAATTACGGTGAAACGCGAACGAGCGTAAATATGTATTAATGCAATTACGTGTTCCCCGTGCCGGATTTCTCAACTACCGCGTGCAACAGCGTTGCTCTTGTATTCAGCCTACCCTAACAAACTTATTCTCTAATATCAAACTTCTCTTTTCTTCCGCTGACTTTTCTCGCTGCTCCAATTGGACGATAAAGGATATACCTACCGACCGAGTTGTCGATTCTTCGCGCGGGACAAAGTTACTCGCTTAGAAAAAGAAGAAGAGCTTTGAAATCGTTTGAAATTCAACGAACGGTGTGTAACAACGATTAAACTGTGAAAAACCGACGTCGAACGAACCGTAAATTACCGGCAGATCCTTGGCGCCCAGCGTTTATTTATAACCAGCGACCTCGAAGATCGCCTACCGGTTCAAATTAAATTGAACATCGTGCTCGTAAACGCGGATTCGTACGGGTCGCATCTCCGTGAGCTCCGTTTACGCGATTGTCGTTGATCCCTTCGAACAGATCATCCGCGTTCTTTCAGGGGTCGCGTTTCGATATCGCTTTTCGGGAAAATCCAGCGAACCGACGAAAAATACGGCGGGAGAAAGAGCAAGGGGAACAGGTCGGAACGAAACGAAATTTGACAAAAATTTTGTTGGACGAGAGGACGATCGCGACGACGCGACGCGCGACGCGGCAGGGGGAAAAAGTAGGATAGGGTCGCGACGAGCCTATCGAAGTGCGATTAAAATATAAAATGGGTTTCGAGGATTCGGACGGTGTTACGCACCGTTTCAATTATTGTCGCCCGGCAACTACACGCAATTTTTGTAGCCGCGTCCGATCACGGCTTTTCGTTCATCTCCATCCTCCCATCGAGCCCCTCTCTATCCAACAACAGCGACAGTAGCAGCAGCAGCAGCGACTCCCAATCCTCGCGCGACTCTTTGCCTATGTCTCGATTTTTTTTTTTTTTTTTTTTTTTTGGCAAGCGCCGATTTTTCCGCCTTTTTTAGCAGAACCACAAAACGGCGCAAAAATCCGATACCGTTTTGCGATGCCCGGATTAGCGGCAGATCGCGCTACCGATTTGCTTTACCCCTTCGATGAAAAAATATTTCCATTTTCGTTTCCTGTTCTTTGTTTTATTCGCTCAGCTTTCGAGGCACGGTTTTCCTAGGAGGGGACGCTATCTTCGCGAATCGAGGCAAATTAGACTGCAACGATTGTTCGAAAGACGAGAGAAGAAAGGGTGAAAAGGGGAGGCCGCGATTCGCTATCCTGTGTCGTCGCGGTCGCGTGAAAGAGCTCGCGTGGATATCCGTGGCAGCCGCGGGTATCAGCGGAAAAGGGAAAGAAAGAGGTGACGGATAGGGATGCGAGCTCGTCGCCACGCGGAAAGAATCTCGAGCGAAAAGCTCACTCGAGATGCCGCGAAAACAATGTCGAGGGTGGCCCGAGATATACCTAATTGTTGAGAGTACAGCCGGCGTAGAAGGAAAGAAAAAAAAAGGTGCCGGAGAAGAGGAAGAGAAAGGCGGAAGAATGAAAATGACACCGACTTCTCTCGAGCTCTTTCCTCTCTACCCCGTCGACCCCAACCCCCAACACCGAGTGCGATCGCGAGCCCGAGCCCGAGCCCGAGCCCGAGCCCGGCTGCTCTTACCCCTTTCCCTATCGGTCCTCTCTTTTCCGCGCGACCGCCTTCCATCCTTGCTACGTCTCTTCGTCAACCCTCTGCGTTCGTCTTCCTCCTCCTTTCTCCTATCCCCCCCCGTCCCTCCTCCGCGACGGCACACTTGCTTTTTATCGACGGCATACTTTAACCCTCGAGCCGCGGCGGCTTGCAGGTGGGTGGGGTGCGGCTCGGTGCCTGGCGACGGAGGTGGCGAGGAAGGAGGATGAGAAGGGATCGGAGCGCGCGCGAGTAGGAGAGTGCAGAGGACAGAGGCAGGCAGGACGGTTGGCGGCTGCTGCTGGTCGAGGGTACGCGGTCGGGGCATTAAACCCATTTAAATATAACCAATACTAACCAGGGTGCCTTCTACTCTCCTCGGTTATGGATGATTTTTACCGTTCATTTGAATAACCCGTAAGCTGCATCCGGCCGTGCGTAGTCGAACACGCATCGAACCGACACACGGACGCGGGAGCTTCGAGTATCTCTGCTCTTCTCTTTCGCATCGACTTCCTCTTCAGCCACCGCGTATACCTCCTTTCTACTTTCATTCCCGTTTGATCCGCGATCGACGACGTCCTTTGACGCGAGCAATCGGCCGCAACGCCTTTATTCTTTGGTTTATTTCTTGTGCTTTCACCAGTCGGGAAGAAGGGAAAAGAGAAGAAGGAGAAGAAGAAAGTGGTTGCGAGTTAGACACGTAAAGATAGGGTGATTCGATAGGGTAAAAGGATAGAGGGAGAGAGCTGTAGCAGAGCCACAGCTGCGACTTCTTCTAGGTTGCGTACACGGCGACAGACGGAACGAAAAATGCTGGAAAGAAAAGGGAGCAACGCGAGGAGAGTCCGTTGGCTGGTGATAATTTTGCGAGATAGAAGCCGGAGCCGACACAGCAGTCGAAGATACAACGAGGCTGGCTCGGAGAAAAACGCTGGCGTACGCTTCGCCTCGAGCTGGTAAAAAGCGTCGATGGAAAGAGGCCGCGATGCGTCGGTGCGCGCGCGAGTACGAGTGGAGTGCAAATATCGGCCGGCCGATAATGCCAGGTCAATTCTCTCTCCCTCAGCCTTGGCTGTTCAAACCTCTCGACGCTCCCTACGGCGTTACTTCCAATCGTGGAATCGTGGAATCGTGGAATCATAGAGGAACACGGCTCGAAAATTCGAGCGAATACTGGCTAGTGCCGCATTGGTTAGCTCGTTCGAGCGCATCGCCACCCCGGAAGGAAGCAAAAGCTGGTTAACGGGGACGCGTTCAACGTCCACGCAGCCACGCCAAGAGAAACCGTTCGTTACATCGTCCCTTTTGCCCTGGGAAATTTTATCGAGAGGCCTCGATCCAGCCGCGATCCGACCGATTATCCGCTTCCCAGCCTTCCGCAAAGAGAACAGAAGAGAAGAGAAACGGGCCGCGCCCTCGTTCGACCTCTCGATTCCGAACGAGAGAAAGCGTGCGTTTCGAACAAAATTATGGAACCGGACCTTTTTGTGGCGAGAAAATACAAAAGGGCAAATGGCTAGCAGAGACGTTTTCGGTCGATCGAAACGCGTCTTTCGATCAGCCTCGAGTTGGCAGCTATTGAAATTCCACGCGGCCAACGAACGGCGATCATTCTCGCCGGAATGCATCGGGCCAGGGGAAAATTTTTTTATGCGAACCAGAGGACAGAGGGAAAGGAGGGGAAATCGTAATCGTAAACGTAAAGCCGAAATGACGAACGCAACGGGGTACACTTAATGGCGTGCGGCGGAACGACGAGGGCGAGAGAAACGAGCGCGTGCGTTTATCGCAGGCCAGGCGTATTTTGTGTCGCGATAGGGCGGCCGCTATCGTTTCGTACCTCTACGCGATCGCGTCCATGTCCGAATCGTATTTATCATACGCGTTCGATCCTACTGGATTCGGCATCGCTGGTAGCTAGATACACGCTTCGCGTCGCCAGATACCCCCGCGGAATCGTCGCTTTAATTGGCCGTTCCTCACCGAACCGTTTTAACGATCGATCTCGTCGACCCATCGCCAACATTTGTTTTCGATTTCGTCCTCGTTTCTCGGATTATCGACGAGCCTAGCTACTAGTATCGCGCTCCTGTTACAACGAAAACCAGCGCGGATCGACGAATCGACGGCGAGAGGGAAATAACGTAGGAACGCGTAGGCGAGGCGGCAACCGACAGGAAGGATCGTTTTTTCCGCGGAATGCTACCGGAATCGATAACGCCCGAAGTCATTCGATAGTCATCAGAGGCCCCCGTTAGCGCGACAAGGGCTGGCTCCCTTCGTGTTCCCAGTTCCGTTCCGTTCCCCCGGCGCGCAACCCGTCATCATCGTCCTCCTGTTCATCCACAACCTCGTCATCGTGTCCTCCATCTAGTCGCCGTCGTCGTCGTCGTCGTCGTCATCGCGATCGCGTAGTCATGGTTCGCAATGACGCTGGTTCGTCGTGATAGTGATCGTGATCGCGCGATCAAGCGATCGGGGAAAGCAGAGACGGCGACACGGAGGAACGCATCCGGGACGGGGATCTGACGGATTGAGAGAGGGTGACAGGGGTGCCGTACGGGGGGAGGGGGTGGTAGAAGGAACAGGAGAGGGGGCGAGGAAAGAGAGAAAAGGGAGGTATGGGTAACGAAAGAGTTGGGGGGTCGGGACGAGCGATAGGCGGAGGTGGTGGTAGGGGAGGGAGGTGGCGTTGTAGGGTTCGGTGGATCCCCGTTCTAGAGCCCTCGCCTCTCTCTCGCTTGGCAGGATGTAGGCGTATAACAATGACAAACCGTGAAACAATGCTGGGCGCCACTGGAAAAATTCCAAAAAACGCGAATAATAAAAATGAGAGCTCGCGTGCACCGCGTGTGTGGCGGTGGCGGTGACGATGGCGAGGCGATGCTAGCACGGCACTGCCAACGGTGGCGGCGGCGGCGATGGCGATGGCGGCGGCGGTGGTAGCGGTGGCGGCGGTGGTGAGACAAAAAAAATGGGTAGTAGGAAGGGGGGTGGAAAAAATGTAAAAGCCCCGGCGCGCACGGCGCTTCGTCGGGGACAATACGCGGCGATGAATGCCTATTATATTTATCTGTAACAGGCGTTCCATAAAGCAAATAACACAGAAGTGTAGCGAGGAAAAAATCGGGCTTTTTTTCGACGCGGCGCAGTGCCGCGAGGGCTCGCTCGACGA